CTTTTGTTCCCTCCCCCTCCCCCCCCCCCCCCCCCCCCCGACTAACAATGTGTTTCTATAAACAGTGACTATTTCTGACTGCTGGAAACTGGAGCTGGAAAGTTTCTACTTTCTTTTTTAAATTAATGTCATGTGGCAGTCTAACCACTAGGTGGCCTCAAAACCCCGAGGCAGCGCCACTACAGGCAGTTAAATGAAACCACACAAGGATTCGGTTCCATGTAAATACCTGCACAGCTGATCCTCATCTGGGCCGTTCCACTGCAGTGACACCAGACGCCACTAGAGGCAGGATTCCTGCTTGTTTACTCCAAACACATGTTTTTGATTACAACTACCCCACAATTTCTCCTCCCACACAAACAACTGCCCCAGTCTCAGCCCCACAGTCTGTAGATCCTGCTCTCTCTCTCTCTCTCTCTCTCTCTCTGTCCTCCCCCTCCCCCCTCCACACACACTCAGATGTATGGGTGGAGTCAGGGGGAGATGCACAGGTGGAGCACAGATTGGAAACAGCCAACAGCTCCTGGATAAAGACAGAGTTGGGGGAGGTGAAGGGTGAGTGAGGTGAGGTGAGGTGGAGCGAGGACTCGTTGACTTGTTCTGGAGCAGGTCGGACCGGTTCCTCCTCCGTGTCCGTGTCGTCTGGTGGCTCCTGCTCATTTGTATCAGAGCAGAGTGAGGAAGCAGCGAGGAGTCGCTCTAACAGTGGAACCAGGAGACGCTGTGACCATGGGGGAGGATGAGGAGTATTATGGGAGACACGGTAACAGAGTCTTCACTTCCTGTTGTTCACTCTTTAAAAGTTAAACTTTTTAACTGGTGGAAAACGAACGACTGAAACTGGGCCCTGACACACGGCCGAGAATGGGTGTGTGGGTGTGAAACCTGCTGCTGTACAGGTGTGTGTGGGTGTGTGTGAAACCTGCTGCTGTACAGGTGTGTGTGGGTGTGTGTGAAACCTGCTGCTGTACAGGTGTGTGTGGGTGTGTGTGAAACCTGCTGCTGTACAGGTGTGTGTGTGTGATCAGCTCGTTTATCTGCAGTTTTTTTTCTTATTTTTTCTCCTTGTATTTGTGAGTATTCTGCACTTCTTCAGTACTCTGTGCTGTAGTATTCTGCACTTCTTCAGTACTCTGTGCTGTAGTATTCTGCACTTCTTCAGTACTCTGTGCCGTAGTATTGTGTACTTCTTCAGTACTCTGTGCCGTAGTATTGTGTACTTCCTTCTTCAGTCTGATCATGTACCTCCTCTGAGGTCACTGCTCCTCCTCACTGACACAGACTAGAACTGTTCTGTTCTGTTCTGTTCTGTTCTGATTCAATCACTGTCACCTGAACATGTTGAATAACACACTGACCCCCCCCCACCTCCACCCCCACC